TAACATCTCTAGTCCTCAGTTTTGTTACGTGGAAAAAGATGATTCCTATAGTCTCACCCAGCTCTGAATCCTATGATGGGAAGCAGTGGGGAATCATAGACTGGGAGTCGAGATGTGTTTGAAGTCTGGCTATACATACACTTTGTATGAAATTGGCCAGGTCCCTTAGCCTTTGTATGGCTCAGTTTCCTCATCTGTAAAATGAGGGGATTGGAAGAGATTACCTCTAAGCCCTTTCGCATTCTAGATCTATGACCCCATGATATTAGAGCTTTGTACAAACAAGCAATTAATTCAAAAATCAGTTATAATATCCTAAATATTGCCAGCAGGTGGAGCTGTTAGACCAAAGGCCCATCTTGGTTATCATTTCAAGTACCTTCCCTTCCTTCTCCCCCTTTCCAATTCTGTTCCCCCTCTCCCCCAGTATTGGGTTTTTAATGTAGCTGTTAATTAATGGGACCATTGCAGTCATAATATTTGCAAAAAAAAACATGCGGAAAGTTCCTAGTACTAAGAATACCTTTATCAGATTCTTTCCTCCCTGCTCCCCTAACATACTCTTTGAGATTAGATTATAGAAAAACCAGGGTAAAGTCAAGGGTGCTGGATGACCCTGGAGTTTGTGTGTGGGAGAAGTATAACCCCTCTGTCTTAATGTCCTTGCGCTGCTGGCGGTTAGCAAGAGACCTTCCCCGGCCTCGCCTTGGGGAGCGTTGGGACTAAGCGCCCTCCCATTGGCTGACTGCAGGGGCTTGGTTGCCGGCAGCCTTCTTGGGCTATTTATTGTGCTTGGAGCCCAGTGCCTCCAGCACAGCGCCTGGCCCACTGCTTTCTACTGACCGCTTTCTCCCCAATGTACCACACTATGGTTGACTTTTCTGAAAAGTATCTGGAAAGGTAGGACCTCAATTTGTGATTTTATAGCTGTGAACTAAGCCATATGTATGAGGGGTAGGGGCAAGAAAGGAAGAAATGGGATTTGGAGTGATTTTCCTAAAGGGCGCCCTACACCCTTTCTGTGTCTTTTCCCTCTTAACCTAAGGTTATATGTAACCTGGAGGCCGTTATTGGAACCTTGATTTGGGCAATACACTATTTTTCTGAACTTGTTGCTACAAGATGCCCCTGTTCTCCAGCCGCTTCCTGTTCTATCCAGGCTCTTTTCCCTTTCTCCCCTGTTTGCTACAAAGATTGGGGAAGCTCTCCCACTATGGACCGCCTGGAACAATTTGGATTTTCCAAAAGGGAAAAACAGCATACAACCCAAACCCACATAATTTTTAACTATTTACAAACTGGGGCAGTGTTGTAGATTTCCTGCCCCACCCCCTTTTCTTTGAAAAAAACAACTGCAAAATACCTCCCTTTGTTTTTTGCAGAGATGAGGGACTGTAGTATAGAACATTACATGTATTGATATAATGTCAGTCTTGGCTTAGTTGCTGGTTAGTTTTGCTAAACAGCTTTTTTTCATTTTTCATGATTTGTTATACAAGGCATCATACTCTGGGGAAGGATATATTTGGAAATGAAGATTTTATATATATATATATGTACGTATATATATGTATATATACATGTAAATTTTAAAATTAAACTAGAAAATAAAAGAAAAATAAACAACTGTATGTCTAATGTCCCAGGGGGAATCTTGACATTCCTTAAAGACGTGCATTTGGCCAGACATAGGCTTGGAAAGAAGGCAGCTGGGTAGTCATGGTTGACTACAGAGGCACTCAGCATATGAATAGGCTTGATCACACTCTGGGGTTACAGTATTCCCCACATTCAGCATGCTCTTGTGATTATAGACTCAGCTGTGGAGCTGCAGAAAAATACTGAGCCCTTTTAAACTCCAAAAGAAGTTGACGTATGAGGGGGAAGGTAGGGGTTACTGTGGGAGCAGTCCAATGGGGAATATACATTGAGTGCTTGTGGGTCAGGGAGTTTATCCTTAATGTCATATTTACATTAGGGAATAACTGCTCCACTTGTCTGGCCTAATACCTGACCTGGGAATTCAAAGCCCTTCACCCCATTAATCCTTTCCCCTTAGAGGTAGAGAGTACCCAGAGAGAGCTCTGAAAGTAGAGGCCCAAGAAGAGAAAGCAATTTTACTGGGCAGTTTAATGGAAGACTTGGAAATAGACACCTTGGGAGACTCCTACAATCTCACTGCCCTTGGTCTAGACCTCCCCACAGGGGTCCTAATACTTTCACTTACTAAGATAGCAGGAGAAACCTGGGGAAGGGAAAAAAAGGCTCTTGTCAACTGAAAGCAGTGGGCCAGAGGGGGGAGTCTTGTTCCCTATTAGAGGCAGGGTTGGAGAGGGTATAAAACATGGTGTCCCTGGGCAACTGCCTTCCTATTGACTTCCATTTGTGACCTTAGGCACAACAGGCTTAACCCCTTTGGTTTTCAGTTACCTCATCTGTAAAATGAATGGATTATAGTAGATGGTCTCTTAAGGTCTCTTCTCAAATCTTATAAGCTCGGTCCTTCGCCTTGCCCCACTCTCAGCATCCATGGGACCTCCTATGGTTGTTGGCCACATTCCCACTTTGGAAGCAAAAAGGAGATTCAGCTCTGCTCTGATTGGGGAGCTAGGGGTGGGGGGAGGGAATAGGAAAAGGAATGTCACCTGTCACATACCAGAGAAGAAACAGTGTGCTGTGAAGGAAGGGACAGTGGGCTGGGCTGAGAGTGGAGAGATGCTAATCCGCGCTTCAATGGTGGCATCTCTAGGCAGCTGGCACGCTTCTTGTCCTAGGAGGAGGTCAGCAGGGTATTCAGACTTCTATCTGTAAGCACTTGGTGACAGGCCCAGAATAATATAGTCACCTCTTAATTAACCAGGGGCCAGTGAATTATTGCAAGCCTGTGCCTTCTCTTTTTCTTTGCTCCAGGAGGAGCATAAGTCTAGGACAGTAGTCCTGAGGAGGTGGAGGGAAGTAATAGATGTGCTTCAGGGTAGGGGGAAAACTCATTTAGTGATTTTTTTTTTTGTACTTCAATTTTTTTGAATTAAACATTTATTTCTCACTCTGCACTACTTTCCCTCTCCTCCAGGAAAAAAGACAAACAAAAGTAAAACCCTCATAACAAATATGAATATCACCACCCTTCTACCTTCTACCTGAGGCTGATCAGAGGATAGGAGAAGAGCAGCAGTCCTTATTTATCCATTTAATTACTGCTTACATTTTAGGTGAAGGATGAGGAAGAGATTTGTTCACAACTAACAAGAGTTTTGGGAATTGTCTGTTGTGTGTGTGTGTGTGTGTGTGTGTGTGTGTGTGTGTAATCTTCAAGTCCCATTGATAAGATGTGGTGGGAAAAACAGTAGTAGTAGGAAGAGTTGTATGATTTTAAGGATATCAGTTTCCCCATTCTCAGGGCCTATGTCTTCCTGTCTGAAAAATGTGAGGGTTGGGTTAGGTGACTTCACTGTAACACTGTAGTATTTTATCCTTGTGAACATTAAGCCCATGATTGAGGACCTAGGGTTAAAGGAGCAAACTGGTCAGTCGTGGGCTTCTAGACTCTTCAGACCTGAATTCTGTCCTCGGGATGAAATTGCCCCCACCTCCCCACCTTCCTGGCCCCTCCTCCCCTGGGAGCCAAGTGCTTGAAGAGATGCTCTCTCTTCTTCCTAAGCCACTGGCCCACTCCCTATGCTAATGATTGTTTTCTGCATGTTGATTAGAGCTTTTCCACCCTATGTTATTTCACTGGGTTGGCAACTGCTTGGGCTGTGCTCCAAGTGCCAAGCCCTTTAGAAAGCCTGCTTCTGGGAGCCAAGACAGCTGGAGGGAGCCTCCGGCAGTGCCCAAAGTCCAGTCTTCTGCTCCAAGCCAGCAAGGCTTGGTTGCCTTGTTTGTTAATTTTGCACCTCTGTGCATGGGCATAGCTGGATCCTGGGATTCTTCCAGTGCTGCTGATTGAAACCAGAGCCCAGAGGGACCAGAGTTGTCAGACAGATGCCTATCTCCAGCACCCATCTCTTGGCACTGCCCAAGTTTGGCCAATCCCCTAATCCCAAGTGCCAAGACTTGGGGAGGGAGTAAGGGTTGGGGTAAATAACAGGAATGAGTATGGGCTATTTCACCCCTTCCCTGCCGGATAGTTTTACACTGTTCCCCTCCCCCCTGCCCCGAAGGGTACCCCATCTTGAAATCTGCCATCCTTTTTCCCAATGACAATCTGGGGGGAAAGTGCTAAAAATGAGTCTGTTCTAAAAATAACCATTACTGCCATCCTGGTAGGACGTGTTGATGCCCATCCCTGGTATTTGCTGACTTATTTTCTTTCTCCCTTCCCTTGCTGTCATGGCAACTGCTGAGGCCTGGTCACAAATAGCTCAGAGCAGCTTCCTGCCTCAGCCTCATGGAAGGGTTGGCGTGTGGGGGCCGGGCCTCAGTGGGAGCCGGCCAGCCTAGTCAAAGACACATGCTTCTTTCACTAGCTGTTAGGCTTGGCTTGTATTTTTTCTGTTCATTTGCTTTCCCGGCCCCTCCTACTTCCTGACTCCTCCTGTCTGAATACCAGCTTCAGCCTCTGCTCAGAGCCCAGACGTTGAATTCCCCATGCTCTGAGTGGACACTGGCCCCGGCTGGTTCCTGCCTGCTTGCCTGGGCTGAGTTTTCCGTGGAGGGCAGTCCTTTGCCTGTCCAGGCCTGGGGGCAAGGGTTGTGGAAGGATCCTTGGGTGGGTGGTTTGCATCCAGATTGGGCCAACTTGATTCCAGGGCCATGCCCTTTTTCCGAGACTTGTCTAAGCCAGGACCTCTGGAGTTCCACTCAGAGATGCTCCTGAGCATGTACCGAACACGGAATGGGAACCTGCAACGTAGACACACGATGAAAGAGTACGTGCGACCGAACCCACCTGTCGGGCACCAAGAAATTTTTGGACAACAGGCCCTAGCTAGCCCTCACTCCTGCTTGCTTTGTCTTCTTTCTTGAGCCTAAAGATTTCTCTCTCTTTTCTCTCTCAGGGCCAAAGATATGAAGAACAGATTGGGGATTTTCCGGAGAAGAAATGACTCTCCTGGGGGCAATGTGGCTGGCAAGGCGGACAAAGGGATGAAATCCCTGAAGTGAGTTCTTTTGTGGACCCGGAGTAGATCCTCTTCTGCTTCCACCCCTATGTTTCCTGCCTCAGGACCCTTACCATTAAACTAGACCTGGGCTCCTTTTGGAAGATCCTTGCTCCCCTGGCGGGGATTCAGAAGCAGTGGGAATGAAGACCAGAGAAAGGAGCTTCTGCCAGCTGTGGCCAGCTTTCCCCCCCAAGAGTTCAGGGATCTGGGATCTATTATTTTCCTTTAGTCTCCTCATCCTATAGTGTTGGGGGGGGGCGGGTACAACAGAAGACTTTGTTGGTTAACTTTGATCATCTACTGAAAAGGCCCAGATCTGAGAGCCAGCCCTAGAGCAAAAGAGCACAGCTCCCATCACTCTTGTGTTCCTGGATGGGCGCAGCTGCTGCTGCTTATTAGCAAATTAGGCAGCTGTAGCACTGCCTTGGCTCAGCCTGAATTCACATCATCTCTCCCCTGTTTGTTGGCAGACCCACCTCTGAGGAGGCACTCAAGTGGGGAGAATCTCTGGAGAAACTGCTGTTGCACAAATGTGAGTGTGTGTATTGTCAGGTCCTCTCCCCCCCTCCCCTACCCCTCTCCTGTCTCCTTTCCTGTCTTCAGCTCGGGGGCTTGTGTACCATAAGAGAAGGATTCTGTTTTCTGGCTTGTTCTCCTGTCAGGGTAGAAGCTAGATATGCCATGAGAATGTGTGGAAAGTTTACCCCATAACCCCTAGTGACTATCTATCACTTATCCTCATTCTTCAAAGCGTCCTAAGTCCTTCCTCAGGCACCAGAAGGAAGCAGCAGAAACATCCAACACGGAATGTCCGTGATGAATGTCAAACGGCCTCCCGGGGAATCACTGTTTCAAAAGTGTAATGTGGAGGCCTCTGATGGGACTGGGACTCGCTTGTTCCTCTGAAGTCTTGACTGAGAGAGAGACTGGGGGGCCAAAGAGAAGGGGCGGGAGTGGGGGCGGGGGAAGGAATCTTTTTAGCTGTACCTTTGTACCCACATCAGCCAGGCATTAAGCCAGGCTGGGTTCCTCCCACAACTAGCAAGAGACAGATAAGAGATAGGGCAGCTTTGAGGACAGGCACTGTTTTTGTCTTTATATGCCCAAAATTTGGAGCAGTGCCTTGTATAGTAGTAGACTTAGTAGATTTCATAAATGTTTCTTGGATTGAATTGAGTCTGTCTTATAGTTCATTGTCAAAGAACTAGAAAGGACCCTTGAAAGGTTGTCTCATCCAACTCTTTCATGTAATGCATGTAAAACTGAGGTTCAGGATCGCAAATCAACTTGCCCATTGTCATACAATGAATTGGTAGCAGAGATAGGACTAAATTAACACAGGTGTCTTAACTCCCAGCCCTGTGAGCTCTCTAATACACCAAACTATTCCTTGGTTTTCTGGGCTAGGCTCAGTGGGGAGTCCTAGGATATGTCTGGGATATGTTCTGTCCTCCTCTTCCTGGGACCTGTAATGGGGCTGGGAGGGATCTCATCTGGTGCTAGGTTGTCCCTTCCCAATGTAACCTGGGCTCTTTGTCTTCTGACAGATGGACTAGCAGTATTTCGTGCCTTCCTACGAACAGAGTTCAGTGAAGAGAACCTGGAATTTTGGCTGGCATGTGAGGACTTCAAGAAAGTCAAGTCTCAATCCAAGATGGCATCCAAGGCAAAGAAGATTTTTGCAGAATATATTGCCATCCAGGCGTGTAAAGAGGTAACCCCTTTGTGTGTGGCTGTGTATCCCCTAGCTGATATCTTTAACTGGTTATATGAAAACAGCTATGGAGGGGCAGCTAGGTGGCGCAGTGGATAGAGCACCGGCCCTGAAGTCAGGAGGACCTGAGTTCAAATCCGGCATCAGACCAAACACTTGACACTTACTAGCTGTGTGACCCTGGGCAAGTCACTTAACCCTAATTGCCTGAAAACGAAAACAGCTGTGGGCAAAACAATGTCCCAGGGGAAGGTAGTTCCATCAGAGCAATTTTAGGAATGGAAACTTGATCAGTCCATTTTATGGTAGGAGCTCATGACATTAAGGCAGGATTGGGACACTGAGCTGGCTTTATTCTGGGAGAATGTCAGCGCCTTGAAAGCAGGGACTGTTTTGTTTCTGTCTTTGTGTCCCCAGCACTCAGCACAGTGTCTGGCACATTGGAGGTGCTTAATCAATGCTTATTGGTTGATTGGTTGACTCTTCCATGTGTGCCCTTCCTGAGGGCGTGATCCCCGAAGGCCTCAGGTCGTGTTGCTCTTCATCGTGAGTTGTTAGTTCCTTCTCAAAGATGCCCCCCCCCCACTGGTTAAGGGGGAAGGGAGGCAGGTGTCTTCCTTGCCTTGCTGTAGTTGGGAGACCAGACGGAAAGTTAGGCTTTTGTTCCCAGTGACATGAAGCTGGGGACATCCTTGGGGACTGGCACTGAAGGACTTGCAGGGGATGAAACCACCTAGGGGGTTCTGATTGGATCAGTGCACCAAGCTGGAGAGAGCAGCTGGAGAGATAGGGGCTTGGAGATGAGGGATTGTACCGGTACAGACTTAGCTTTGGAAATGCTGACTGGTGCTGGCCTCCTGGGCACATCCCGAGCGCTGCCTTTCAGGTCACGGCCTTGATCTTGTACCCGCTTCTCCCCCCAGGTGAACCTGGACTCCTACACGAGGGAACACACCAAGGACAACCTGCAGAATGTCACCAGGGGCTGCTTTGACCTGGCCCAGAAGCGCATCTATGGGCTTATGGAGAAGGACTCCTATCCTCGTTTCCTCCGCTCAGAGCTCTACTTAGACCTCATTAACCAGAAGAAGCTGAGCCCTCCATTGTAGGGTGCTCCCATCCCTTCCCCCGGGCAGCCCAGGGGACATGAATGTTTACATGAAGCCAGCCCGGCAGGTGGCCTGCCCTCTCCCTCCCCACCCTCCTGAGGATGGCTGAGAGAATGGACCACTCTGTCGCCTGTGACTCCTCGAAGCCATATCTCTGTTGGACTGGCCCATGGACATATGAGAAGCCGGAGGCCTGGACTACAAGAGTCCCTGGGCACTCGAGAAGCCAGTGGGCTGGTGCCATGCGTGTCGGCACCCTGCCCCCACCCCCAGTGCTGCTTTCTGGTACGACGATGCCTGCCCCAGGATCGGGCCTATGGGCATGGCACATAGGCAGGGCTTTGGTACAGGCTGACAGGTTCTTGTCCAGGCAGCAAGGAGCCAGGGGCAGGTGTGAAGCTGGGGGGACAGGGGACCAACCAGTACAGGAAACTTTACCTCTAACTTATGAGCTCCACCAAGTGTCCTCCAGCACGGGCCTGCCCCCCCTTCTGGGTCACTTCACAGTGATCAGGGCCCTGAAAGAACTGGGTAGCAGAAGGCGGGGGTGAGGAAGGTATTCCCTGGGCCAGGAGGCAGGTGCTCAGGTGACTTATCCTGTAGGTTTTGGCCTCCAGGTGCCATCCCTTGGGACCCTGGTGCTCAGCACCCTGACATCCCCACCCTGGACCCTGGCCTCAGGATTTTATTTATTTCAACACTGTAGCCGAATGCTTGATGCATTGTTCTGTAATAGGAAATCCTTGCCTCTTTATTTTCTTAATTTACAAGTGCAATATTTTAAATATGTTTTCGTGGGAAGCTACAAAGCAGAATGACCGTTCTATTTTAAGAAGGTGTACACACTTTTATAAGTTGGGGCGGGAGGGAGGGTTGTTTTTTTGCCCAAGGGACCCTGGCAGCAGGCAGTTGGGGTCCCTGGATGTATATATTATTTGTTGAAAATCTCAAGTTCAATAATATGAACAAAGTGCCGTGCAAGCCTGACCCTCAGCAGAGGGACAGTATCTCTGACGGGGCCCACCTGGCTCTGGACAGCACATTTGGTCCCTGAGAGCCGTTGCTGTGGCTCCCAAACCATCCACACAGCCAGGTGATGGAATGAATAAAAGGCCCATTTGACTTCTGTTACTGGTTGCTGTCTTTTTTATCTAGCTGCTGTAGGCCCTCTTGTCACCTACAGTATTAACCCTTTAATCCTGCTGAGAATCTTATTAGACATTCAGGACTGGAAGAAGGCAGAGCCCTTCATAGAGCACCATCTAGTCCAGCTGCCCTATGAGGAAACTGAGGCCCAGAGGGGGGTAAGAGAGGGAGTGACTTGCATGAGGTCATACAGCTAGTGAGTAATGGAACTAGAACACAGGTCTGGGCATGGTGGGAGAGTCAAAAGAACGCTGGAGCCAGAAGCTGGTTCTGCAGGCAAGCCACTGACTACAGTCCTAGGTATGTCATCATAGAATGAGGGGCTTGGCCCTTGCCACTCTGTATCTGGTCCTATGAGATGTGGCCTCTAAAGGCCTTCCGGGTCTCCTGGTTCAGTGTGGGATAGGACAGAGCTCCCCAGGACTCTGGTCCTTCCTTAGATCGTCTTTAGGATGTAGCCTCCTCCTAGGCCCTGTGCATGGGACCGACCAGCATAAGAACCTACCTTCAGCTCTCCTCTTAGCAGCTGGCTCCTTACCTCCATGGAGATAGCAGTCTGCAAGGAGTTAACCTGTGTAGTACTGAATCTAAATGCAGCCAGAGCAAGAGACGGTGGGTTAGAGTCATCTATTAAGGCTTCCTGTGAGAGGTGGGACTTAGGCTCTTAACGGGCCTCCCTGAGGTCCTGAAGACTTTGCAGAAAGGCTCTCCTCATCCTTGTGACCCAGCTGCCTTGTGACCTCTCAGCATATGGAGTTAGCCTCTCTCCCTCCTCGGTGGGTGCCCTGGGCCTGTTATTTGGGCTAGAAGCACCAAAACTTACTCTGTGGGTTAGATTCTTTGCCTGACTTTGCTATTCCCTTGCAGTGAGACCCTTAGGTTCTTTCTCCCTTTCCTTCCCCTCTTTTTCCCCCGTACCTATCAGTCTCTCCTCTTCCCCCTCCTGACCTCTTCCTCAAGTGTCCTCTCTTCCAGGAAGCTTTTCTAGGTTTTGGCACCAACTATGTCTGAGATTGGGGTCCTGGGGAGAGACAACTTACAGGGTCAGCCAGCAGATACTAAGGGCTCAGAAACCTGTTTTATGCCCCATTGCTAGGTGGCCAGAGACCACACTTGTTTTCCTCAATCCCTCTGACTTCCTATAAGGGACTAGAGAACTTTTCTTTAGCCTGTGCCTGACCCCAGTTCCCAGATTGGGATTTATGGGTAGCCTGCCTGCCAGGAAGCCACTAGTGGCAGAACCATTGTTGTTTCACTGCCAGAGCCCCTTCCTAGCTCCGGTCCCCAGGGCTTGGCTCTCTGAGAATCCAATCAATTCAATAAGCACTTATTAAATCACCTACTATGTGCAGGCACCAGGGTATGCAAAGACAATCAAAAATAACCCCTGCCTCCAAGGAGCTTATATTGTACTGGTGATATCCCCACCATCTAGCACAGTGCCTCGTACATAATAGAGACTTAATAAATGATCGCTGAATTAAAGTGTTGAAGATGTAAGCAGAGGAGGTGAATATGTGGTCAGGTCCCTCACACTCCCTACTTCCTGGGCCTGAATCCCTGTCAGCAGTGGGATGGGTACAGTAGAACATGGAACCATGTATGGTCTTCGTGCTAGAGCAACATCCCAGCTGCTGATGATTGAGGGAAAGCAGTTCCCAATTGAGATATGATGTGCCTTGGCCTCTACATGGAACCAACAGGTAAGGATTTCTTGATCCAATTCTAAGCGTCTTCACCAGACAATTTCCACCTGGAAGATCTGGGAAGGGAGCACAGGCAGAACAAGACAAAGAGACAGACATCCTGTCCCTGTCCTGAGGAGCCCTCACCTTGGGTTAGAGATGGTAGGTAGCTCCAGAACCATAGAACTTCTTGAAAAAGGTGGATAGATGATTCTCCTGATGTTGGTCTCCATTGAACTTTGGATTCTGGACTTAAAGGTCACCCAGTGCCAGCTCTTCCTTTTTTACAAAGCAGAAGCTGAGGCCTCAGAGGTCTGAGGTTACCCAGTCAGTGACAGAGCTGGGAACGGAAGCCCGGCCTCCTGACTCTCCAGCTGCTGGTAATTCCCCACTGCATCCTCATGACACTTGCCCTAGATGATCGATTTATACCGGAGAGGTCACGAACAAAGCATTATCAAATATTATCCCTGGCTCTCCACACTCAGCATCTAAAAGAAACCAGAGTGGGATTAATGGGACTGGGGCAGCTGGCTTCAATGAAATTGAATTCTGACTGCTTTGGCTTTCTATTCTCTTTGGGGTTTGTTTCCATGGGAACCTAAAGGTCAACCATGGATGGTCAAGGTGGGGGTTGGGAATAGGCAGGGGGAAGCCACCTCTGAGTGAATTTATGGAAGGCAGATACTGTGTTCTCTGACTCCAATAGAGGGGGGAACAGGTCTCATTAACTTGTTTAATGTCATACATCCCCAGGGAATTGGTAGGGGAAAGAAAGCTAAGACACCAGCCCCCAGGCTCTCCTTTAGACTATGGCAGATTTAGAGACGCAACTTGTAAATTTCAGAAACCTGTGTGGCCCAGTAGAAAGACCACTGGATTGGGAGTTGGGTGGCATTGGTTCTGGTCCTTGCTAGCTATGAGACACAGCCTCACCTGGTCTCAGTTTCCTTGTCTGTAAACTGGGAGTAATTGCTGCCTGACCAGGTGTTGTTAGATAACAATAGAAACAATGAGGTGAAAGAACTTTGTTATTATGTAGGGCTATGCAGATATCAGGAATTATTGTGGTGATGCATAAGCCTGGGAATCGAGGGGCACCTTTTTGTCCGTAATCTGCAGGCCTTCTAAAGAAGGTGAACGTTTTAACTATCAATGAAAGAAAAGACAGACGTTTAGGGTTTGGGATGTCAATTGGCTTCTGTTTTGTGGGGCTAACTCTGTCTTTTCGAGGAAATCGATTGGGTAATTCAGGCTGCTCTCAAGGTCTCATCTGCTGCTTCTCGAAATAGCTGCATGGGCCCATTGACAACCTCCTAGTTATTTACGAGGTCACTGTTCTCCTCCTGGCAAAGTCCATCCATCCCTCGCAGGCCTCCTGCTCTCCACCAGCCTAGCTGGTGAAATCTAACTGAGATCACCGGAGGGGAGCAGTTGTGCCAGGCACAATGGAAGGGATGCCTGCATTGGGTGGGGTCATGGGGTTGGACCATCAGAAGACAGATTCTGCAGTCCCTCAGATATCTCGTTCTGAGATTCTTTGGTTCTATGTTCTGAGGTGGCTCTTATTCTTGACATTCTATGCTGTGTTTTCACCTGTGGTCTGTGTTCCCTCCAACTGTGAAATGGTATCACAGAACCTGAGTTCTTATGATTCTTTGGGGTGGGTGAGGAAATTCCAGGTGTGGCCCAGGTGGGCACTGGCCTGGCTTTGGGCATTGTTCTCCCAGGGTTCTAGCCTCCGGCTTCATGCCATTCTCCAGCTGTATGTGTCAGTGAAAGTATCAGGTCTGTCATTCCTAACTCTTCACTCCCCACCCACGTCTGGCTTAGCTCCGACTCCTCACAGACAGTTCTTTCCTCCCAGAATTCCCACTTTGAGGTAGGGTCCTCACCCTGCTCAGCCATTTGGCTTGGTTCCTTCAGAATCGAGCACCATGAGGGCCTTTAGAACCCACCCAGGTGGGTTATTTCCCTACCCCTGCCAAGAGCCTGCCTGGTTTTCATTTTTGCTTCAGGGACACTGATATCAGATTGCTTGGTACACTCGACCGATGCTCCTCGTTCTCACTCTGGTTCATCCTTCGTGCCTCTCCATCCCTCCACCCCAACCTCCCTCCATCTCTCCCATTCCCTTCATCAGCTCATACCAAAGGGTCAGCTCCTGCTTTCTGTCTGTTATGCCTTAGGCCCCATCTGGCCTCTTGGACAATTCGGGGTGAGGAGGGGAATGAGGTTAAAAATAGTTCCCGAAGAGAAGCATATGGTATACTTGTCTTGTCTTCCTCTTCCCTCCCCCTTTTACCCCCACCCTCAGACTGGCTCTTTTTAATAAGGATTGTTCAGTTTTTCTTGGCAAATGCTAAATGGTGGGGAGGTAACTGATTTGGAGTTTGGATTTTTGTTTGTTTTTTTGAAATAGCTACCACTGCAGAGATAGTGAGACGACAGAGCGCTAGCCTCCAGGCAGGAGACAGAGGTTCTAATACCAGCTCTGCCACTGTGCCACTGTAATGTTGGATAACATTAAGCCCCCTCTGGGCCTTAACTGTAAGATGAAGGAAATGGATTCTGAGGTCCCTTCTGGCTGGAATATCCTTGAGAGCTTACTGGTGTCAAATCAATACAGACTTGTAGTGGGATGTGGCTGTCAAAAAAGCTAATTCAATTTCAGGCTGCACTAATAGAAGTCCAGCAGCTGTTGCAAGGGAGGTGATGGTCCCATTGTCCTTGGCCTGGTAAAGTCATATTCTTTTTTGGGTGCTGCATTTCAGGAAGAACATTGACAAGGTAGAGCATATCCAAGGGAGATCCACCAGGATGTAGAGGGGTCTTAAAACCATGCCATGCCAGGGTTAGACACTGAAGGAACTGGGGTTGTTTAGGCGAGAAGTCTTAATTAACAGAGACAGGGAGAGTTGTTGTGTTCAGATGTATGAAAGGTGGTCTTGCTTTCAGTAGAACAAGGACCACAGGGGCCAATGGGTGGAATTTATGGGGTGTGGGGACAGGAAGGAAGAAGGGATTAGAGGGTGGAGATTTTAGTTCCTAACCTTTAAAAAGGAGCAAACACTGTCCTAACTCTTAAAATTTTCCCCCAGATGAAACTTGCTTTTTGGAGGAATAGTGCATTCCCTGTCATTGCATGTGGAGGTTAGATGACCACTTGTCAGGGAGGGTGTAGACAGGATTCATGCTTTGGGTAGAGGTTGCATGAGATCATATCTGACATTGCCCCTCCTCCCCCAACTCTATAATTCTCTGATTCCATCAATTTAGTGCTGTTCCAGGTTATTTTTA